AAAAAAAAATATTAAAAAAGCAGGCAATAACACTTAATTAGATTTGATTAAAAATATTTTAATTAAAAAAAAAACAATAAAAAGAAATGTAATAATGTGCTAAAAATTAAATAAAATAAAACATATTTTTTTCATAAACCAATAAACCCCAAATAATAATAGAAAATGTAATCAACAAAAGTATAAACAACTTTATTGAAATAAAGAAAAAATAAATAAAATAAATTTTTAAAAAGTAAATGAAATTTTAAAAATACAATACGCAATAAAATCTAAAAAATTAAAAGAAAATGTAACTAAAAAAAAAATAATTTAAAAACGAAAACAAAAATAATACCGGTTCCAAAATATGAAATGAATTAAAAAAAAATATTATTTTTAAAACAATAACAACCAAACCATTAAAAAAAAATAAAAAAATTAAAAAAGTACATAAAATAAGTTTCTGAAAATTAAACAAAAAATATATATATCCTTTTTAAAATACAGAAAATTAGAGAAAAAAAGTAGATTAAAAAGAAGGGCAAAAAACTCGTTTGTGCTAGGACTCGAACTCGGACCTCTCGATTGGCACAACTGTGCCTTACCCACTCGTATTTTGCGGTTGGTGGAATGGGCTAAATGGTATGCAAGAGCCTTCTCTCAAAGTGGCTTTTCACCACGAGTGGTGAATGAGAGCTTTTTTTCTAAGACTAGAATAACAAAAGTCTTTCGAACTAGCTTGCCATCTGTCTTTCATTTGTCTTTTTTTTATTTATTTATTAAGTCTACAGAAAAATGTTTTCTTACAAACAAATGAGATAAAAAGATTTAGATATTTAAGTATGTATGATACATGTATTACGAAAGACTTTTTACTACCTATGCCAGAATTGCCCTATAAGACCATTCAGAGCAGACAGAAAAGTTTTTAGGAACTCAAAACTGCGATCTGTGCATTTTGAGGAACTATCTAAAAAAGGACTTTGACATGACTTCCAATGAGAACGCTGAGTCAGCGATGGAAATTCTTACTTCCAAATCCTATGCAGAGATGTTAAAAATTACTTTAATTCCGAAAAACAGACTGACAGTCTAGGATGTATTAATAAAGCGAAATATAAATCTTAATTTATTCGTTCAAATAGGAAATTTCGATATTTTGTACTAGGAGGTAATTAAAATTGCGAATCTGGCAACATTGAGTCTAACTAACGATTTTAGATCTATGGGAGTATGGGAGCGTTAACAAATTTTTTACGAATTCCAGGTCTTAGAAATCGCTTAAGAAATTTGATGTTTATACATGGATTCTTTGGGAACTTTTAGAACTGGATTAGATGTTATGTGCATAAATGGTTCGCCTGATACTCATATCAGTCATCTCCGGAGTGCCTTTCAACCTTATATAATCGCACACGATTATCTACCTACAAGTACTGCAAATCAAATAACTTATCTTTAAGCTCTTTTGAATACGCATCCTTGACACGAAACACTTACATGCATATGAATTTATTTACGAATTTAAAGTCATTTAACAGGGGAGAGAAATGAAGGGAAATTCTAAAATGACTGCTTTACGCCCCTATTGTTTCGGTTGTTGTATCTACTAACTTGACCTAACAACGCCACGCACAAATTTTACATAAACATCGATGGCCTGAGCATATGTATGCCAACCATTCACCCCTCGTTAGCGTGTTTGATGATCAGTCGACAAAATTACGGGTAGATACATGCGAAATCCCTTTTACTTCAATATGGACCATAAT